TCAACACCTGCATTGCACGACCTTTGCTAGACGAAGAAATCAAACGCTTGGCAAAAGCTTTTTTGAAGAACTTGATGTTATCTGTGGATTTATTTGGTTTAAGGTAATCTAGGTATATTAATGAAATTTCCAGAGTCGTTTAAGTTAAAAATTACAGCCGTGTTATGACACAAACTTCACCGGTCGTGCACCATTTCGGAACCATTGCGTTTACTAATAGGACACTTAACGATACATACATATTTATGTGAAACAGTGATGATTTTCCTCCTTGCTTTGTGAAGTTTGTAAATAAAATCGTGTTTAAGCATACGGGAAAACATGTAACTCATACACAATTTAAAATAGTATGCACATACGAACATATGCATGTATGTATGAGTTAAGGTATGAATATACACTCATACATATGTACGTGTATAAAGATGCGCTTGCTTGTTTCCGCCAGATAGTTGTGATCAACTGCCAATTGCACCACCACCACCTCTTCGTAATTTTTTCACACACAATTCAAACTCGTATTTTCATTTTATATCAGATACCCATACTAAGATAAGCACTTTATGCGCTTCACGGATCAATGAACACAAGTAAATTACTTTTTGCACGTTCGTGAAAATTAATTTGTCTTTCATTATTTATTGCATTTCGATATTGTCCTTCACTTGTTATTTTACGTACAACGGGCATACATACTTGCATTCATATTTGTCATATATATGTAAATTGCTTGGACTTTGAATGGCGCTGCAGAACATTTGCATAGCCACGCAGGGAACGCCATTTTCACACAGAATTTTCATTCCAGCTCCATTAATTGTAAAAAAAAAATAATAATTCAGTTTTTGTTATTTCATTAATAACTATGATCTTCATGATGAAAGCAGAGCTGTATTGTAGATACAGGCAAGTATGTATGCAGGTTAGGGTGGTCCAAAATTTCATGTAAAAAAGTAAAGTCGGAATTTTTATGCTCTCACCCCCTGTATTTTTGTAAACCGAAAAAAATATCCCCCTATTTTTTATTTTGAAACTAATAGTATTTAGAGCGTATTTTTATTGGAAGTCTCCTGAAGAGAATCAGAGTTATCCGATCGAAAAATATAGATTTTCGAGAATTCTATAGTATAACTACGAAAAGTTGCTTTTCGCCATGTGAAATATGTACATGGAAAACTTTGATTTTTTTGAGCGACCTCTAAATATTTTTTGATTGCAAAAAATAAAATAGGGATACATATATTTTTTCGTTCTAGAACCATCCTAGAAGTTGAGAGCATTAAAATTCCGACTTTACTTATTTTTTTGAGACCACCCTAATGTAGGTGATACAAATACACATTTACTTATGTGTAAACTTAAATGTTGGGAAATGAGTTATTTTTATTAAATCTCAAATTATGTTTACATTTGAATATTTTCTTTGCCTCTCTTTAATGTCATGCGTGCACGCACGCACACACCCATTCACATCAAAATATCCACCTAACCACACAAATACCGACCCAAGCCATTTACTAACATTGCTGTGCCTTTTTCATGTCTTGTTTGCCTAAAATTATACCACATAAAATTTAATCACACTCTGTTGACTCAGCCTTTTCTGTGTTACTGCCATTTTATGTTTGGCTACTTTTTTTTATCACTCCTTCCACTGTGCGGCGTAGTGGCCACATTTATTTATTCATTGCCGTGAGGTAAACCATTTTTATGAAATAGTTTTTACTAATTTTATTATTGTTTGTTTGTGGTTGTTAGAAAGTGACGTTACAAGGGAAAAGGCTATGGGGCTTCAGAAGGCAGAATTTATGTTTGTCCAGAAATATGAATGTTGATGCGGAATACCCTTTGCGTTTGCCTTAAATGAAGCGATTTATTAAATCCGATTCTGAACCATTAAACACTTATTCTTTGAAATTTTTATCATATTTATATGCATGTGCAATGGCACAGTGTCTTGTGATTACACCCGGTATGCACATTTATGGCACATCTGTTGAGTTTGAAAAGGGTTGCCGTATTTTTTCCAGTTTAGCTTTCGTACTTTGTATTACCTTAAAACCAAGATTTAGTAGCTAGCTAGCTCAGCATGGAAGACGCTTAACAGCGTGTGAAAGGACAAGCGATATTCTCTAATATGATTTACACAGTTTTTGAGAAACAAAAACGTAGCGATGCTATGTAACCTCTAAAATAGGTCAAACCCGCATTTTTCGCTTTTTTTGGGATAGAGCAATTTGAGCTCAGCGACCAAAAATCTATTAGAATAGACTGTGTTTTAATTTGTTTACTGTCACTTAACCTGAAGCTGGGGTTCATAAAGAACTTCAAGTCAAAAGAGCGACTAAGGCTCTAATATATAACACCCTCATATACGGGAGCGCTCCAGCAACAAAGTGCAATATAAAATATGATGATGTAAATACTCTAACTACGCTCAGTAGTAGCTAGTTAAAAATATTGATATCCACATTAAAATTTAATGTAACTATTTAAATTGTCCGTCACGTTAAACAGGCATGAATTTACGTATCTATACATAACTAAATGTGCCTTTAAGTGCATCCAATTGCGCATTGTAACCGCGAACAATGCATATCACTTATACATATTTGCTCTACGTTGTTTGCACAATCCCTGCGCCTTTCACTCCTTGACTCCTAACCACACTGACTTTTCTTCTTACTCATATAATTATCACTAAGTATACACGGCTTTCACATACATATTTTACGCGATTGTACGAAACTATTCATTAAAAGAATTATGCAACATGAAGCCGCATGCACTCGCTTTCTCTTGAGTATAATTAACATTAAGAGCTTTAGATAAGATTAGCGACGGTAGTTGAGTCTTCTGGAATACAAGTATGTACATATTTAAACTAATTCTCTAAATGTAACCGCCAGCGTAGTTGTGCATTTACATAGATAAACACAATGTTCGCAACTTGTAATGTTGCTGCGTACTTCATACGGAGCCTAAAAGTGTACATAAGCCGGGGATGCCTCAAAGTGCAGCTTATTAAATGCTGCCTTAGCACTTTTCACTTGCAGTTGTACATAAATACACACATATGTGCATCTACATATATACTTATATAGCTATTAATATGCATTCGTAAGACATATCTTTCAAAAGCATATCTTTCTAAAGCTTCCCTTTTCAGGCAAATCTGAATGCTTTCGACGCAATCACCAGCAGCAGCCACATACATATGTATGTATGAGAGCAACACAAAGCGAGCAACCATCCACGCTGTTGATTCTACACAATTTGCACCGCTCTCTAGAACCTAGCTTGGTTGCGGAAGCGTTTGTTTGCTCTGCGCCGGCAGTAAAAATGTGTACATATGTATGTATATGCGCCTATGCATATGCAATAAATTGTTGTAAATTAATTTATTCAACTTGTAAATGAATTGCTTTTTGCAGAAAATGGTTAAAGGACATACATACATACATGCATATGAAGTTGTAAGAGGCATGTGAATGTGTAAAGGCTCTGTTATGCATACTTGGCATTGCTTGAGAGTTGTCACATAAGGAATCTGTTAAATGAGCTTCGCGTGTAAGAGATTACCCAACGCACAGCATTACATACGTAAAAGTCTGTTGGTTTTTGATTTCTACGTAAAAATGGTATAGCAGTGCATGCAATGCCAAGTATGCATAACAGAGCCTTAAAGGTATGTAACCTCACACACACACAAAAGAGCAACATGGTGATGTAATAAATATGCAAATTGACACAAGTCTATGGGTGGCGTCGGTTAGCGATGGCCAATGGGTAGAGCAATAAAACTAAGTAAAGTATTTTATGTTAAAGCAGCTGTTGCTTCAGACAATATCTGGACAAAGAATACTTTAATTGCCCATATACATATGTATGTGTAGAGGGTGACCCATATAGTTGTTGTTTTTAAACATACATATATTATTTGAGAGCAAGTCAGTATCAGTTTTCTCGAAAAATCATCTTTTCTAATGGAATCGGAAAAGTCGCATGCGATCGTTGAGAAGCCAAGGCATCCCCAGAAAGTGAGAAGCGCAATTTCGGTCAACCCTCTCTCCGTTGACCGAAAGACAGAGGCGCGATGAAAAAATTTTTGTTGCCGGAAATTGAAGCCTTGAACTTGGGCGATCTCTGGTTTCCGCTAGATGGCATGTTAATCATGTTATCAGCCGTCTCGGTGATTTGATACCGCTAGACGTTTTTTTTTTGTCGGATGCCATGGAGTACCGGGAGTTGATTCAGACGATTCAGACCATTAAGATGAATAACGAGTAAGCCATTCGTCACCATGGCCTTGAACCGAATGCGCTATTGCGAAGCCAGCCGAGGTAGCCACATGCATGAAATTGTGTTCGATAAATAATGGGAATATTTGCGCTTTTGAATAAATCAATAATATCTATACCGAAAAAGATTTTTTAAATTTTTTAAAAATTTTTTTGAATAAACCATTATATTGACCATCCTGTTTATGTATAATTTTTGCTTTAATGTTGCAATGTTATTAAAATAAAGCACACTTGATTTTCATTGCGTACGTTTACCACAGACATAGACATTTTTATGACGTGTTTTTTCTGTCAAATACTCTGTTTTATTTATGTACATACATTCGCGTATCTTTATATGACTATCTTGATGGCAAGTCTTTTATTCTTTCACACACTTTTAATTGTTATGTCTAAAATTTAATTATAGCAAACAAAAACAATTAACATCGGAACATGAAATATTGACACAGCCGTTTTGTTTACAGATTTGTGGATGCAATGATAGCGATTCGATTCGTTGCCCTTTAGAGGAGCTATTTGAGTTAAATTATTTATATAGATACACACATACTTACATTTGTGCATTCTACATACTTACTATGCACTTATTTATGTATTTATGTATATTAATTTATGTTCTGGAAATGATTTTGGCAAACTTTTAACACTTTCCTTATGATGAACTTTTAATTAAATTTTTGTACTGCCACTTACCGGCAAATGTCTGCTGAATGAATATTTCTCGGAAGTTTTGCAGCGATGCAGCTGAAAATAGAATAAAAAAAGAATAAATTACCAATTTAATGCAATGCAGTACAAGCTACAAAATTTGTAATAAATATGAATCAGAAACATGAACCTGAGCCGAAAATGAAAGCAATGGCCTTAGATTTTAATTAGTAGTACGCAAAATATCTAGTCGTTGAACAGAAGATTGGAAATTTTCGGCGAATGCAAAAAAAGTAATAGACTAAAGTAATAGTTAGCTTTATGACAATTTAACCAATCTAAGGTGCGCTTTGGGTAGCGTAGTAAGCTATTGGTGCAGAGTCACTGATTACGGCAGAAAGAGAGGGAGGTTTGAGAATGCAGTTTAAGTCTGCAGCTTCTGTTCACCAGGGAAGGCCGCTTCTTACGGGTGCCTGCCGAGGAGCAAGCGGCTGGATTTCTAAATTTTTTCTTAAAATTGGAACCAGCAAAAAAAAAATAGATGCTGCCTACAGTACAACGCTGCGATTAGGCGAATTCGAGCTATGTGGGATCGATCGAGCTCGAAATGCCTGGCGACGGACAGTATCGACTTACAGAGGTTGTAAAGACAAGTGCGAATTCCTGTGAAAACAACAATGGCAGCCAAGTAACCGATGGCCTAGAAATACCTAACTGTATTGAAGTCCATTGGGAAGGTGAACCCGAGAACCAGACGAAGATGATGGACGACTATGACTAAATTGGAATAGAAGAAGCGCAGCTTGAAAAGCAACAGATCTGCTGGATCTGATGGCCTAGAGTGGTGTCAGTGTTGGAAGAAAGTGCTAGATTAAAAAGTCTCGAAGTCAACTACGTAGCTGATAAGATTCTTGGCATGCCAAGTAGTACGTTTTAAGGATTTTTCTGTGAAAAATTGCACTAGTAGAATTCAATGGACGTTGGAAGTCGGTGTGGTTTGAATCGTACTTTTGCATAAAAATTTGAATGCGCTTTTCATGGACTTGCTTGTCTTTCAGAGTTGTGAACATTTCCATACATACTTTCATGCACTTTTCAATGATTTTCTGGAGACTCTGGTTATTGTTTTCAAAATACTCTATAGTCTCTCTTCCGTTAATCTTCCACAGACTGGACGCCTAACAATGACCGATTCCCTTAAAATATGTTTATTTGAAGTTTATTATGTATGCAGTACTTTTGTTTAGGAGTGAAAAAAATTATGTTGATTTGTGAACTTTCCCCGGCCGCTACATTAGGAGGCAGATATACTAGATATTTATCGGTTTTAAGAAAAATTGGCTTTTATACGGTTTTTGTATGGCTGGAGGGCGAGCAGTAGGCTAATTTTGATAATCAGCGTTATCATGAGTTTCCTTTATTACCGAACCGGTTCACTTTTCACTTTTGGTTTCCATGGTTTTACTATGGGCAGATGAAAATTTTTCGGGTGATTTTTTTGAGGAGAAACTCAGGATAAGGCAGAATATTTCAGGCTCAATTTTTTCAGGTTAAAAGTAAGTTAGGCAGACTCAATTTCATTAAAATCGGATAACACTTAGCATTTCCGCCCCCTGGTAGGCATTTCAAGAGGGGAGACGAGGAATTGATAGGCCTGTTGCAGAATGTCGTGGTGTGCTTTTTTCCACTAACTTCCTTCAATTGAGTCAAAAAAATAAGCAGATTTCTCGTGTTATTTAACAAAAACCACGCAAAAACTAAATATTCAAAATATACTGTAGTTTCTAAGGATTTTCACAGCTATTTGAAAACACTTCTTTGTCTGTTGATCGGACTAGAAATGGCACCAGTCTTTCTGTAACATCTCAAATCGCATTTACCCATTTTTACATATTTTTTGACCCTCTAACCCACCGCTTTCACTGCGAACGTGTTTCAGCTCCACTATTTATTGTAACAAATTTCTGTTGGTGCGTCACAATCTTATAATCTAACCTCATATTGCCCAACAAAGTTTATGGCGTTGCCGGTCTAATGGCACTTTCACCACAAAGCAGTTAAAACTCAGCCACCCAGCGGCGAAATCCATTCGCTATCATCCCACCCAATTCATAAATTTCACTATAATATTTGTTGGCAAAGTCAACCAGCTTCCTGCCCAGCCCCTTTGCTGCAGCGCTCATTCTCGTTTCTATTAAATTGCCGCAACGTTCTGCTCGACAATACAGCCGAGTTGTTGATGTTTGCACTGTTCTACTCCACTTTGTAATCCGCTGGGGGTTGTTGCTCGTTCGCCGCACTCGAGCACACAAGTCATGTTGTTGGCATGCCACGTCACCGCTCCACCTCACCTCACCGCACCTCACCTCGTCTCACACCCAGCCTCACCTCGGCTAAATGTTGGCAGCCAACAGCGCTTAACAAATACAAATACAAATACAATAATAATTTGCAGGCGACTAAAACAATGGTCAATTGGTGGCGCTTCGCCACTCGTGCTGGTGTCCTCATTATTCTAGCACTTGCTTTACAGTCCGCTTGGGAGAAAATAGTTTTTGTCGCCACTTTTTCCATATTTCTGTCTATGTTGCTATTGCTGTTTGCTTGATCCTAGTTTTAATGGCTTGTTTTTTTTTGTTTTTTTTTTTTTTCAAGCAGAAAAAGGCTAGCGAGACAGAGAGTGCGAAATGAAAGAAATGAATAGCTATGACGGCAGAAATGAATTTATTGTTTTTATCGCCGCGCAATTTCCACTCGCTTCTTCTCTTTCCCAAACTGTCTCACTTAGAAGTGATGTCACCTTTGCCAAGGGCGCACAAGCGGTCAGCAACACGACGAACTATGAAATGCCAATGTGGCCAGACGGAAGAGGCGAGGTTAAACCAAAGGCCATTTGCTGGCTTGGAATGGTTGAGCTGGAATTGTGAATCGATATATTTTAAAGAGACGTGGAAGGGAGCTGGGGTGCCGTTTCATGGGAAGATTTTGCAAATTGAAAATTCTAAGCACTAATCCGTTTATTCAACGCTTGAAATTAAAAAGGGTGTATGTCCGCTTTGGTAAGTTTAAAGCACAATTTTTTGCGCTTTTAAAAAATGGTCTTAAAATCTTTGTATTTAAAAATTGAATATAAGTAAATATCACATGGAAAGTAAAACTGAAATGCAATGTGGATTATTTAAAAGTTTAACACATAAATTGACTGTGACAGGTGGAGACAACCCTTTGCCTTGGAAAGGACTAAAAATATGGATGACAAAAGGAAGATACCGACTATTAATTGGTAAAAAATTAACAACAACAACAACTGCACACTGAAAGAAGTAAAAGTGTACGTACTTCCCATTTATGCCATTTTTACTGTTAAATTTTCTTTGACTAATTTTAAAAATAAAATAGTTTTTAGTTAGTTTCCGTTTTTTTTTGTATATTTACTTAGTTCTTTTCTTCCGTGTAAGTATGTATTTAAATATCCAAAAATGTATGTCCAGTTTTTATATGGCTGGAAATTTATGTCCATTTTCTAAAAACCAAAAATGTTTGCATGGTTGGTCAATTATACAAAGTCTTTAAGTTTATGTCTAATTTTGAAATGACCAAAATCAAAAATGTATGACCATATTTAATGTAGTTCAACATTTATGCCCGGTATTGTGAGCGATGAAAAATTTATGTCCAGTTTTTAAATGTTCAAAAAATTATGTTCAGTCATTAAATAAAAAATGATATCCCCATTTTCATTTGGCTGAAAATTTATGTTTAAGGGTATATCCAGTTTTTAAATAAACAAAAATTGGTCAGAAAAACATGGTGCAAATTTTTTATTTACGGCCGAAAGTTTAGGTCTAAATATTTGTGTTCTATTTTTAAATAACCAAAAATTAAATGTTTATGTCCATTTTATGAATTACCAAAAATGGTTTAAGATGGCAAAAATGTGTTAATATTTGCACGGCCAAAAATTTTTTCCATTGATTCGCGGCTGAAAGTTAATACATAAAAGTTTATGTCCAGTTTTTAAATTACCAAAAATTGGATGTATAAATTTTTTGTGTGTTATTAATTAAAAAATTATATGACCAGACTTTAAGTAATCAAATTTCCATCGAAATCGCAATATTTTTGGCTATCATAATGGCTACGATTTATTGTTCGCATTATAATTATCTTTCGCATACTTTAGCCGCAGGATGTAAGTTAGTAGCGACTGGAAGCTTAACGATCAAGCGCAAAAAAACTCCAAGCAACGAAACCACTAAATATTTTACGCCAAAAACATCTCGCCGTGCTTCAATGAATTACATCAAATTTTTTACCTGCCACCCACTTTTTGCACACACTGTGCCATTGACATCGCTCAGTCAACCGTTAACCACAGTGAAAGTTTTAATTATTTTGAATGCGAACAATTTGCCATGCAATTTGACTTTGTATAATAAATGCCACAGCAACAATAAAAACAAACACAACAAAACAATAACAACAATTAATGCAACAACAGCTGCATGAAACAATAGAGGCGCCAATGAAAAACAACAAATCAAACAGCGATGAAGATAACAATTTTGCTTGGGTTTTGTTGTCAGCCAGCAGTTGTTGTTGTTGTTGTTGTTGTTGTTTGTATGCGAATAATTTCCAGTGGAAAGTTTCGTCTTGCAATGCGGTTGTTACACCACAACTTTGCACTGCACTGTGTCCAACTCCCATGCTACTGACATTGTTGGCAACGTGCAACATGCTACGTGCCATCGCCACTCGGTCATCGATGGTGGCAATTGCAATGCAATGGAAATCAGGAGGCCGAAGGGGCACGAATGAGAGTCAAGCGCGGATATTGGCAATGTGCAACGGACTGGCTTAACGGAGGCAGTACGAACCGAGTCACCCCCCCCAGCATAGTTGAAACTCAGCAAAGGAATAAAGAGAATTTAGTTAGTTGCATGGAACACACGAGTGCGTGTGCGTGTGCCTTTGTTTGTGTTTTCGCTTGTTTTTTGTCTCAGCGATCTGGGTTATTGGAACAGGAAGGTGAACCCGGCAAATATGCAAAGCAAAGCGGGCAATCATCGGTTTTGTAGTAGATATTGAATATCGCT